TCTTTTTGAGACAGGGTCTCACTATGCAGTTCAGGCTGGCCTTGAACTCACTTTGTATCCCAGGCTGGCCTTTTTTTGTTTGTTTTGTTTTTCTCCGGTACTGGGGACTGAACTCACGACCTTGCGCTTGCCAGGCAGGCGCTTTGCCGCTGAGCTAAATCCCCAGCCCCCCAGGCTGGCCTTGAACTTGAAAGGATCCTCCTCTTGCCTCAGCCTCCAGAGTGGTGGGATGAATTTTCTTTCTGTTGACCAGAATAATACATTCCTTACAGGCAAATGAAAAATACAAACAAATTAAAGTTATGCTCATCCCACTATCCATAGATAATCTCTCTCTCTGGTATATGTAATTTGGACATATAGGAATATTCAACTCACTTTAACATATGGGGAATATTATATACATTTTGCTTTAGAATTTAGTTTTTGTTTAATACAGTGTTTCATTTTTAATGACACTGTAGAGTCAAATTTTATACCATAATGGAATCAACCATTTTCTTATTAGATATTTAGGTCTACTGATTTTTTTCTCTATGTTATAGATACTTGTAGATATTTTTGTGTTATGTCTCATTTGCTGTTTTTGTTTTGTTTTGTTTTGTTTTGTTTTGTCTTTTTGAGACAGGTTCTCACTATGCAGTTCAGGTTGTTCTAAAACTCACTGTGTAGCCCAGGCTGGCCTGGCACTTGCAGCAATTCTCCTGTCTCACCCTCCCGAGTACTGGGATTACAGGTGTGTGCCATCATAGCTGGTTAATTTTAAATTTTAGAGAAGCTTTGGACTTAAAAGTTACAAAGATAGTTCTCATATACACCATACTCAGCTTCTTCTATTAGCATGTTACATTATCAGTATGACACATCTGTCACCACTTAAATACCAACATAAACACATTATTAAACTAAGATCCATACTTTATTCATATTTACTTTGGGTGTTTGTTTTTGAATCAGGTATTGCTAAGTAGTTCAGGCTAGCCTTGAATTCATTATGTAGGCCAGGCTAGCCTTGAATTTACAGCGATCCTCCTGCCTTAGCCTCCTAAATGCTGGGATTAGAAGCATGCTCCTGGCTTACTTCGGTTTTTTATCTCATGTAGTTTTTCTAGCTCACAATACCACATTGCATTTAATGCTCATGTCTTCCTAGACCCTTCTTGGCTATGACAGCTTTTCAGACTTTCCTCATTGCTGATAACCTTTATAATTTTGAGAAGTATTAGCCAGGTACAGGAGTGTCCATCAAGTAGGATTTTTCTGATTTTCCTCATGATTAGACTGGAGTTACAGGTTTTGGAGAGAAAGATCGAAGAGATAAAGTGCCATTGTCACTATATAATACCAAGGGTGCCTACCATCAACATGACATCACTTGGGTGAGGTAATGTTTGTCAGTTTTCTTCATTATAAAATTACTCTCCCTCTGACCCCTTTTCATGTGTACTTTTGAGATGGGATCTCACTCTGCAGTTCAGGCTTGCCTTAAACTTGTGGCAATCCTCCTGCCTCAGTCTCCTGAGTCCTGAGATTACAGGTGTGTGCCCCTGTGCCTGGCCAAGTGCAACAAATTTGTTGGCTTACTTCTTTCGTGATATAGATGGACTGAACTGAGATGGATTGGCACATGGAAATTAAATGTCTTGAGAAAATGCCTCAAGAGAAAAATGGATGTCTTGAGAAAAGTGCGTGTAAAAGAACTACATATAAAAAAAAACTGTAAAGTCCCTGTATCCGTGATTTAGTTTGTAAATCTTATATGAAGAATGAATCCTTTTATCAGATATGAAGCTAACAAAATCATTGGGCTAGAAATTCCTTTTTTCTTTTTACTTTTCTGTCTAAAAGATGGTCAAGAGGAAGTGTATGCTTTGGAACACATTACAAATATACCATAATAAATATTCCCAGATATTCTGTGGGAAAATATTTTATTCTAATGTTTATTTCTTTTTCTTCTTCTTTCTTCCTTTTTTTTTGGTAGTAGGAATCAAACTTGGGACCTTGCACTTAATGCTTATTTCTAACAAACATTGTGATTTTTCATTTTGAGATACAGTCTTGCTATATCAATAGATTCCCAGGCTGGGTTTGAACTTGCCATCTTCGGCTTCAACCTGCCAGAGTACTGGGATTATAGATATGTGCCATGGTACCCAACTTCTAACAAATATATTTTTAAGGAGGATTTGCAGAGCTGATAGGAAAAAAATCAGTACATTACTTTTCGTAGTTAGTACCATCTTTTTGTTTTAGATTTAGTCGATGAATTTTATCTATCTATTTATTTATTTATTTATTTATTTTAACAAGGGAGGTTAAAGAATGGGAAAATTTATTGGAGAAAAAGAATGAGGAATAGGAATGTGGAATAGCAATAGCTCCTGAGAGACAGGAGGGGTCCCAAATGGATTGCCCAAATTCTATTTCTTTCTTTCTTTCTTTCTTTCTTTTTAAGACAAGGTTTTGCTATGTAATTCTGGCTAGCTTTGAACTTGCTATGTAACCCAAGCTGGCCTCGAGCTCGTGGTGATCCTCCTGCCGCAGCCTTCCAAGTGCTGGGATTACAGGTATGTGTCACCACACCTGGTATTAGTACCATTTTAAGACATGTCAAAACCACAGTTACCTAGTATATAACATTAATAATTACTATACTGATATTGTATATTGAATACATTCTAATTTATTTTCTTTCTTTCTTTTTTTTATTGTTTTTGTTTTTTTGAGGCAAGGTTTCACCAGGTAGTCCAGGCTGGCCTTGTACTTGCACTCTTCCTGCTTCAACCTTTTGAGTGCTAGGATTACAGTTGTGTGCCATTCTGCTGAGCTCTATGTTGTGATTTTAAACATTCAAGAAATATACTATTTGATATGATGATTTCTCAATTAGTTTCAAATTTTTAAAACCAGAGGAACGTAGTAGTGACATCATAGTCACAAAATCTAGGAGACAGAGTTCCTAACTCGTACAGTGACAGACTACTGACAAATGTTTCAGGTAAAGGGCCAAGTGAAATAAAAAGTATTACTCAAGCATATTTCTCTGACCAGATTCAGGGTTAGTCTATATTCAGTCTATGTTCATGCTAGAGACTGAGTAGACATGTACTTTCTCTTTTAAATACACTGGGAACTGCCAGTCCATCTCAGTTCAGTCCAGATTTCCTTTCCTTCTGTCTTTGAGATTCATTACATTTCTTTAAAGAACTTAATGAGTTTGCTCAGGGAGTTGCATCAGAAATTATTTTTATTATTAGTGGTAGGAATGACAAGTAGTTCCTTTGTAATGCTGCACCAGTCAATACCTGTTTTTGCCTAAGGATGTATCCAACCAATTCTGGATAATCCAGCTTTGAAGTGGGTTGGGCAGAGCTAGGCTTCTTTTTTCTTGCTTAGTTTGTGTTGTGACCTAGTCATACATACCTTGAAAACTTAAACAGTACTGAAGATATAAGCTAATTAAGTTCCACAAATGTTATAGACAATGTACATGGCGTTAACCTCAAAATTATTCTCTATGGTTTTATACAATAGATTATCTAGAAAGAACACTTAATTAATGTTTTCTGTTCATAAAAAATAGCATCCTTCTTTCATATGAAATGTCAAAATGAGTGATTACCAAGTCAAAGAAATGTTAACTATCTTCAAAAATAATTGCTTGGCAGAATCTATTTTCAAGGTAATTTTAAAAAAATAGGGGTTGGGAATTTAGCTCAGCGGCAAAAGCACCTGCCTGGCAAGTGCAAGGTCGTGAGTTCGATTCCCGGTACCGGAGAAAAACAAAACAAACAAACAAACAAAAAAAAATTATACTCATTATAAAATTCAGATACCAGTTTGAGGGAGTGAAATATTAAGTACTGTGTAATCAAGATAGACAAAAGTCTTTGTTACAGTTTGTAAAAGAGGAGAAAAATGACATCTTTTGCTTTTGGCCAACCTCTGTTACAGGGACATTCTCTGGATCAAGAATATTTGCCTGTCATCCCAGCAGTTGGGAAGCTGAGGCAGGAGGATTGTCGTTTGACGCTGGCCTGAACCCGTGTATCAAAAAAAAAAAAAAAAAAAAGAACATTTGCCATATACTCCACCAAATTCTTTTCCTGTGATCTCTGATCATGAGATTAGTTGGAAGGTCAACGCTTTTAAATCTTAAATAGTACTTATTTACTACTTTTATTTTTTGAGACGTGGTTCAGGCTGGCCTTGAACTCGTGGCTCTGCCACACCAATGCTGGGATTAGAGGTCTACACCACCATGCCGGTTATACCTTCTCTTTATTAACAAAAAGAGACACAGGAGGAAACAAAGAGATGTATGGGTGGGGAGAGATCCACAGAAGGTAAGATCTTTTTTGGTTAGCTGTTTTGTATCACTGAAATCTGGCTATGATTCGTTTGGCCGGCAGAACGTGGACCGGGCAAAGGACGCCCGAAATCCGAGAGGAGGCACTAACAAAAATTAGTCTTTCCTGTAAGTTCGGCACTTTGCTGGCCGCTGTGTTCTCACGTGACTTATTCATAACCACCCAATAAAGAAGGTGCCAACATTACTCCCATTTTACAGGGAACAGCAGCAAACGCGCCGAGGTCACCAGCACAGAGGCGGCGCCCCGCGCGCGCGCGCTCAGTCCTGCGGCCGGGTTCCGCGCGAGGGGCGCTGCCGCGTCGCCTCCTCCTCCGGGGACAGTTCCCGGTACTGAGGGGTGGCGCTGTCCAGCCCGCGTGGCCGCCGCCCGCCGCGGGCAAGAGAACGCGGGCCGCAGGGCGAGGCGAGGGGCCGAGGGGACCGCCGCGCCCAGCCACGTCCGGGCACGCGGGCGGGCGGAGCCACAAGGGGCGGCCATCCCAGGCTGCGCCCCGGGTCCCTCAGCTCCGCGCGCGGGGCTCCCGCTGGAAAGGTGGGCGGCAACGAGCCAGACTCGCTGCCCCTCGCGGTTCCCCGCGCCCTCCTCCGCCCAAACAGCCCGAGGCGGACGGCCACCTAGCCTCACCTGTCTCAGAGGCGGTGACCGTCCCCGTGACTGACGCCGTGGCCCTCCAACCAGGCCACGGCAGGGAGGTGGGCCTCGCTGAGACTGACGGCTTCTTTCCTCCAATCCCGGTGCAGCGACTTTCTGGCGTAGTCTGGGCGCCAGGTGGAGAGCGACAGGTGGGAGCGTCTCTTGCACCCTTGACTTAGAGGCTCAGCAAGCGCAGGGTTAGGTCTACTCCACTTTTTATCAGTTTTTGCGGTCGTCAATTCAGCTCTCATTTTAATCTGAAGTGGACATTTCCCAGCCCTTTCCCGTCTCCTCAGATTGGGGCGGGATGAATAGAACCTTTCCTGGCCTATTGTACCACGCGACGTTCCGTGACAAAATGACCGACACTTTATGGCGCCAATGGAACTTCCCATTGTTAGGGGTCACTGTGACTGACCACAAGGCCAGCTAATCCACTTTAAGGTCGTGACGCGATTGTCAGAGAAACTGACCAATAGACGTAGAAAAAGACCGGAAATTGGTTTGTGAGGAACAGGAGGCGGGTATTCGCAACCGCCTAGACCTGCGCGGGTCAACGCAGCTTGGAGGCTACGAGCCAGCGGGCAGCGCGTGACGGAGAGCTTGAGTGACAGGTCATCTTGGCCAATGATCCGCAGTCGCTGGAGAGCTGCAGCCAGTGGCGAGTCTAGGGGGCGGGAAGCAGCAGGTTAGGCAGTGAGAAGTTAGTGGCGCTGCTGGGACGGGGGGGAAGGAGACGCTTCTTCCTCCTGCTGCTCCTCTTTTTCTCGGGATCAGCGGCGGCGGCGGCCGCGAGTGACTCGGCAGCGTCTCCGGCTCGGCGTGTGAACCATGCTGACCGACGGCGGAGGCGGCGGCACCTCTTTCGAGGAGGACCTGGACTCCGTGACTCCGCGATCCTCCCCAGCCGGGGCCTCGGAGCCGCCTCCGCCGGGAGGGGTCGGGCTGGGGATCCGCTCCGTGAGGCTGTTCGGAGAGGCCGGACCCGCGCCGGGAGCGGGCGGCGGCGGCGCAGCCAGCGGGGACGCAGCGCTGGATTTCAAGCTGGCGGCTGCGGTACTGAGGACCGGAGGTGGAGGTGGTGCTTCTGGGAGCGACGAGGACGAGGTGTCCGAGGTACGGCTCGTGCTCGGCGGGCTGGGTGTGAATTGTCTCCGGGCCGCGCTCCCGCCTCCCCGCGCTCCTTCTCTGACAGCAGCCAGCCCGCGGCGCGGCGGCAGCTGTGCGGGCCTGGTGACGCGCCCCGTCACTGTCCGCAGACCCACAATAGGGAGCTCTCGGTGTCTGAGCTGCGCGCGGGAACGGGGACTCGCCGGGCCGCCTCCCGCCCGCCTGCGTCGGGGTGGGGAGGGCGGGGTCTCGCCCGGTGTCCCTGCCCTTGGTACTGAGGGAGACGGAGGCAGAGGTGGCTAACTAAGCTCGGGAGCGTGTCTGCTGTACCCTTCTCAAAGACGAGGGATGCATCTATCTGCCTTCTTTCTTAAGTGCCCCTTATCTGTGTGTTTAAGTAGCGCTCTTATTTTCCCTTTTTAGTTTGAGGCAGGTGAATATTAGGGAGCTTTCAGCTTTTACCCAGAAAAATCACGTGACTCTTGGCTCCCGGGACGTTTTGTGAAGTTAGACAGGAAAAGGAAGTTCCAGTGCATCTCTGAGCTTCGGAATAGCTGGATGGCTGAACTCAGAGGTTTTTAGGCTGGGAGAAGGTGAGGCATCCTACGGACACCTTTCTTTTGTAGTGAGGAAAATGAGTTATCTGTTTCTTCACTTCGTTTAACCCTTACGTATATATTGTGTGTGTGTGTGTGTGTGTGCGTGCGCGCGCGTGTGTGAGATTTTGAGGCAGGGTCTCGCTATGCAGTTCAGGCCGGCCTTGAGCTCACTTTGTAGCCCAGGCTGGTCTCAAACTCACAACAATCCTCCTACCTCAGCCTCCCGAGTGCTGGGATTACGGGCACGCGCCACCATGCCCGTCTTTTACGTGTATACTCTTTTATGTGCACACATTTTTAGGCCCGGTCAAGCTACTATGATAGACCTCATCCTCTTTTTTTGGCTGTAGGGAAAAAGGGCTATATATGTAAGGAAAGGGGGCTTACCTCCCCAACTTTTTTCTTGACAGTAATTTGTCCTTTGATAACTGTTTGAAGTGCTGAAAATATTCCGTTTGGTTCTAGGTTCCTTCTGATCAATTATTTTAATCTCTAGACTTGGTGTTAAAGTGCAGGAATTTCTCCGTTTATATCAACAATCCTGGCTTCTCCTTTTGAGATTAATAAAAGCCGGGCATGGGGGTGCATGCCTGTAGAGGGCTGAGGCAAGAGGATTGCCAAGAGGCCTACCTGGGCTGCATAGTGGGTTTAAATCCAGCCTGAATTACATAGCAAGACCCTGTCTCAAAAAAAAAAAAAACAAAAACAAATATTTAAAAAACCCAGATAAATAAAGAGAGTACATTTTTGGATTGCAGAGTACAGTTAGTACTCATTCTAGGTCTGGAAGGGTTTTCTTTAAATTTAAAACCTTAGTACATTCTGTCCCTAAATATTTTGTTTTGGAAAAAACAGTATGTTAGATTTTAAGAAGATAGTTCCTTGAGTGTGTATGTCTCTGAATTTTACTATAAGGGAAATAACGATGAAGGCAAAATGAGACAAGGAATTTGAGTTTTCAGTTATGGGACAGATCTCCTGGAGTACCCTCACACTTGGGCTATTGTATCTTCAGTGAAACTTGATGAGAATGAACCCAGAACACATGGACTTTTAGCTAGGAAATAAACAGGAAGGCTTTTTTTTTTTTTTTAAACAGCATCTCTTTATGTAGTTCATGCTGGTCCTGAATTTACTATGTAGCCCAGGCTGGCCTCCAGCTAACTCTTGGTGATCCTCCTACCTCAGCCTCGTGAGTGCTGGGATTACTGATGTGGGCTAGTGCACCCTGCACAAAGACTGTCTTTAGACTTCATAGTTTACTGTAGTTTGTTTTTTTCCTTGAAACTTGTAAGGGAGAGTCTGAAAAAGTTTGCTTTGATCTAAGTGTGATGAAGAGTCTTCCTGATTTTTGTGGACCATTTTTACGTAATTGTCATGAATAAGGGGAGAGATCACTTTTTTTTTTTTTTTTTTTTCTTGGCCTTTTTGAAGCAGGGTCTTGCTATGCAGTTCAGGCTGGCTTTGAGCTCACTTTGTAGACCAGGCTGGTCTTGAACTTGCAGTGAGCCTCCTGCCTCAGCCTCCCAAGTTCTGGGATTACAGGTGTGCGCTACCATGCTTGGCACTCATTTATTTTTTTATGTAAGCAGGGTTTAAATTTCTTTAGTTAGAGTGCTGGTGATCCTCAAAAGTCATAAATATCTCCCCTCCCGTTTCATTTGGTCTCCCATACCATGAGGATAAGTATGGATACAATCCACACCTTTTGCGTTTTTTTGACATTCACTGTAAAGTCATGATTTTAGGGTTTCCATACTCATTTAGCAATGGCTAATGTAGGAGAACCCCTTATGCTTCTATTTATTTATATTTTCTGGACCATAAAAGGCTTTAGGAGTAAATGCATATTCAGAAGTTATTTTTGTAATGAAAGATTCTAGTGTAACTACAGACTTTAAGTTAAGGTGATGTTTGAAGAGAAAGAAAATATTTTGTGTCCCATTTCTCCCATGTCACATAGAGAAGAAATTCTTGGAATACCCGGTCTCTGCTATATAGTATGTGTACTAGGGTGTAGGATGAAATAACCTATTTTGCTTAGGGAATTCCTAGCCTTTTCTGTTTTCTAAGATGACTGCCTTCTCCATATTACTGCTTTTGAATGGTGTGAAAAGATCATAAATAATGTTCAAAACACACCTAACTGGAATTTCATGAATAATATTAAAATCCTTATTTTCATCTTAATTGTTTTCTACATTTTGTGTTCAGAGGAACAGATAGGGCTGGGGATCTAGCTCAGCAGCATAGCTAGCACCTGACTGGCGAGCGCAAGTTTGTGAGTTCGATTCCCGGTACCAGAAAAAACCAGAGGAACAGATACTCTAGGACTTCTTTTCTATCTATTATTCCAAACCAAGAGTTGAGAAAAAAGTTGCTTTCCCACGCTGATTAAGACTTGCTAGTTTGAGGGGCTAGGGATGTAGCTCAGCAGCACAGCACTTGGTCGTGAGTTCGGTTCCCAGTACCAGAAAAAAAACAAAAAAACAAACAAACAAAAAAAAGAAACCTTTGGGCTGGGGATATAGCTCAGTGGTACAAGCCACAAGTGCCTGCGTGGGAAGCATAAGGTCCTGAGTTCTATTCCCGGTGCAAAAAAAAAAAAGACTTGCTAGTTTGATAAAGGGAGTTAAGCCTATCAGTAAATTTTTTTAATGTTACAGTTGTGCTATTTTAGAAAATGCCATCAATTTAATTCTTACTGTTTTAAACATTGGGGTAAATATCTGTTTTGTATTTCTTCAGGCATACTGAGCATGTTCTTTAGCTGTTTAAGGCCTAGAATAGAAGAGTCATAACTTGAACTGGATCCTACTGATACGTGCTCATTATTCAGAATAGAGGTCAGGTTAAAAATTTGTTAAAAACTAATTATTATTTATTTATTTACTTCTGTCTTTTTGAGACAGGATTTCACTATGCAGTTCAGGCTGCCTTGAACTCACTTCATAGCCTAGGCTAGCCTCAAACTCACAGTGATTCTCCTGCCTCAGCCTCCCAAGTGCTGGGATTACAGGCATGCACCAGCACTCCTGGCCAGAAACTAGTTTTTAAATGTTAATTTTAGAGTTATAATCTTTTTTTAAAGTTACCTTAAAAATAAAATTTCTAAAGATAGACTTTTGTGAGATTTGTGATTTTTAATTTTTCTGTTTTAAGAATGTATGCATATATTATGTATATGTGTATACTATCTGTGAGAGATATTTAGAAATTATTATAAAAGTAAGTCAGTCTTATGGTGAAAAATTCAACATAAATAGTAGCTATAAGGTAAAAAGTGAAAGTCCTCCTCACATCCCCCGCCTTTTCAAGTCTTACTCTTTAAGGTAACCAGTGTTAAAATTTTTAT